ATGTAAATTCTATTATTAATAATTGAAATCTTGTGAAATTTTTATTATTTTAGAAAATAATTGAATATTCGTGTAGAATTTTATAAAAATTTCAAATTCGAAATAATTTAATTTCGGCGAAAACTTTTGCTATTTATAAAGATAATTAAAATGTTAACGAGATTTTTTTTAAATTTATGAAAATAATTAAGTTTTTCGAAAGAATTTTGTTAGCTTTAAAAATAATTTAAATCTTGAGATAAATACTGTTATTTATGAAAATAATTGTATTTTGCAATGAATTTTATTAGAATTTCAATTAATTCTAAAAATTTATGTTATAATAATGCTTTTAAAATTCAATTATTATCTAAAATTTTAACTAAAATACTTTCTCCACGAGGAAGCAATTTATTTTTAAATTAATTATTATTATAAAACTCTACAAGAATTTAATTATTTAAATAGAAAAATTAAAGATTTACTAAATAATTGAATGTTTCTCAAAATTGAATTCTGATAAAGAATTTTATTACCAAATTTTTAAATAATTATTGAATTCTTTTCACCAATTTTTCTAGAATTTTTAAGAATAATTGAATTCTTTTGAGGAACATTCTTTTAAAAATGTACTGAAAATAATGGAAATTTTGGGATGAGTTTTATTATTTATGAAAATAATTTAATTATTGCGTAGAAATTTATTTAAAATTTGTAAATAATTGAATTTCTTTGAAATTTTTATTATTTTATGAAAATAATTAAAGGTTTGCGTAGATTTTTATTAATTTTTTTTAGAATAATTGAATTCTTTTGGAAAATTTTATTAAAACAGTAGATATTGAAAATCGTTGAATTCAGGAAGATTTTTAAAAATAATTGAAATTTTGCCAAGAATTTTATTAAAATTTAAAAAAATAATTGAATTTCGTAGAATTTAATTATTTCTAAAGGATAATTAAAATTTTGACGAGATATCGTACAATTTACGAATTTTTCATCTCTCTTCAATCAAATTAGGGACTTTACGGACCTTTTTCCAAAAAAAACTGACTTTTACACTCTTCAAAGCAAATTTACGAACCTTTACGGAATTTACAAACCTAGTTCGAGCCCTGAAATATATATTTATATTTCCGGAAAAATATTTTTTTCAAATACCTAATGAAAAACAATGTTTGAAAAAAACGTCCACTAAAAAAAATAATCCATGGAAAAACCTCTATTAGAAAAATAATATTTAAAAAATAATTTCTAAAATTTAGCATCGGCACTTTTTACTCCCAACAATGTATATAGCAAGCGTTTCAGAAAATTTTTTTCGCGGCCCGAACTTTAGGAAGCTGCATAAAGCTTCATCACAAGGTATCACCATTATGAAGGTTATTGTTCATGACGATAATCCTCAACTCTCAGCACACTGCTTGATGCAAAAATCATGTCTAGTTTGTTTTCTCTTTTTTCTCCTTTCACGAAAAACTGCAGGCAGAAAAAAAAGAAGAAATACTTTTTTTTTATATCGTGACTAAAGAAAAAAAAGTATACCAACGTATATTCAATTCTCTTTAATATGAAGACAAAATTTTTCCAATTAATAATGGATAGAATTAATAGCAGCAAAGTTTAATATCCTTCGAGACAAAAATCAATACCAAAAAAGCGATTTGAGAAGTTCGCCTGGGCAAAGATATAATATAGAAATTCAACTTTTTGAGTTTACAAAATCTATATATATCTATATGGGTGATGAAAAGTTGAATTTGTCTTGATCAAGAGATGTGGTTTGAAATGTCGAGTTATACGTTTCAAGAAGAACTTTATTTATTAATATCAAAACTGTCGATAGCTGCTGACAGAAAACTTGAGAAGACACCAAGGGATTTTATATATAAATATATATAATAAATAAATATATATATATATAAATAAAAATATATACCATATAATATATATATATTTATATATTTATGATAATAAAAAAATATATTTATAATATAATATATATTATACAAAAAAATATATATTATATATATGCGATAGATACTTGAAAAAAGATAGACTTTTGAAAATAAACGTGGAAAAAAAGAAGCTCGAGAGGCCACTCGTAAAAGTTCACCAGTTCACTAGGCCTTTGTGCTTTATATATAAAAGTTCGTACAATTATGTATGAAAGCCTCATTCACACGAGATTTTTTTTTCTGTGAACGAGAGCAAACTTCAACTATTTTTTTTTTCTGTTACATTCCAACATATTATCATCGTACATCAATATTTTTTGACAAATTAAAAAAAAAATTATTTCCTTTTAATATTAAAAGAAATTCTTTTTTTATTTTCTAATATTAAAAATCATAATAAAATAAAATTAATTATTTATTAAAATTAACAATTATGAATAACTATTTCTATATTTTATTTTATTTTCAAAGTTCAAGTAAACGAAACTTTTTTCTGTACAAATATTACTATACTGTAATAAAAAATAATGTAAATGAAATATTTATTGAAAATTTTTATTTTTTTTATTTATTTTAAAAATATTCTTTTCTGCAAAAATAACAAAATTAACAAAAGTACAAAAAATATTAATTATTCTCATAATTAAATGATAAATATCAAAGGTAAATAAATAAAATACGGGGAAAAGATTATAAATAAAAACCTTCATTATAAATGTGAATCCCAGCTGATTTAAATTACCCAGCATTTTAGTGTGCGATAAAGCCGCGCATCATCTTTAATAAGATGAGAAAAATATTGACATAACAATTACACAGTTCAATAATTCTGCGACATATGAAGCAGCAATTATAACTGATAGTAATAATTAAACAAATATTGATAAATTAATAAATATCCTCGTGAAATTTTTTTGGTGCAATATTTTTTGTTTCCTTTAATAATTTGTTATTAAATAATAATATTAATAATAATAATTTTGTTTCAAATTAAATTAATAATTATAAGAACATAAAATAATATAAAAAAAAAATTATTTTAAAAATGAAATAAAAAATAATGTAATTAATTTAATTAATAATTTAATTAATTAATTCATTTAATTAATGTATTGAAAATCATCGAATTGTTGCAAAGAATTTTATCAAAAAATTTGATAATAGAATTCCTTGGAAGAATTTTATTATTTAGGAAAATAACTGAATTCTCGAGAAGAATTTTATTAAAATTTTTAAAAATCCTAATTAAATTCTTTGGAAGAATTTCTTTGAATTTTTTTTAACTAATGGATTTTCTTTAATAATTTTAATTGAAAATTTTGAAAGCAATTGAATTTTATGAAGAAGAATTTTATTAAAATTTTATTGAAAATAATTGAATTCTTGCGAAGAATTTTACTATTTATAAAAATAATTGAATTGTTCCGAAGAATTTATTAAAATTTTAGAAAATAAATAAATTTTATGTTATTATTTGAAAATTTAAATTCTTTCGAGGAATTCTATCAAAATTGTTTTCAAAAGAATTGAAATTCTGCAAAAGAATTTTACTATTTATAAAAACAAATTAAATTATTGCGAAGAATTTTACTGTTTATAAAAATAATTGAAAGAATTAAAGATTTAAAGAATTTATTAAAATTTTAAGGAATAATTAAATTGTTATGAAGAATTTTATAGAAATATTCAAAAATAATGAAATTTTTTCGAGAAATTCAATTAAAGTTGTTTTGAAAATAATTGAATTTCTTTAAAGAATTTTATTAAAATTAAGTAGGTATATTTAAAATAATTGAATTCTTTCAATTTTTTTTACGAATATATTTAAAATTGCATTGAAAGTAATTTAATTTTTATATAGAATTTTTTAAAAATATTTTGATAATAATTGAATTATTTTTTGAGAATTTTAAATTCTTGTTAAAATTGCATTTTATGGAAATTTTTGAAAATAATTAAATTCTTTCGTGTAATTTTATTTAATTTTAGAAAAGAATTGAAATTTATGAAAATATTTGAATTATTTCGTTAAATTTTTTAAAAAAATTTTGATAATATGAACAGTAATAATTAATTTTGTAATTAATAAGTGAATTTTTTAAATTTTGATTATGAAATTATTTAAGAAATTTATATTTGACAATAAAAAACTTTGAAATTTGCATAACAATAATAAATAATGGAATGTCTTGTTCCGCGCTCTAGCGCGTGTAACATTTGCTAGTTACATAATAACTTTTAATTAAATTATTTGGCTTTAAAATTATTTTTAAAAAAATATTATTTTGATAGTATAATAATTTTAAATTATTTTTTATTGACATATTTTTTTGATACTAATAATTTAGTTAGTATATAATATTATTTTATTATAATATGTTTAAAAATTTACGGACTACTTGACACTCTGATAAATGAATAAAATAATAAAAATGATTAGTTGAGAATTATTTAAATAAATACAAAATCCCATTCTCTCTCACATACCGCCCAAATACAAATCGAATCCTAAAAGTGAACATTTTTTAAATTAATATATTCCAATTATATTATAAATTTAATATTAAAAAAAATATTATAAGTATACATAAATATATATTATAAAAAGTAATATTATAAGTGTACATAATAATTATAATAATAATTATAATAATAATTATATATATATATATATATAATATTATAAAATAATTATATATTTATTAAATTCAGTTGTTAAAATATTTTAATTAAGTTTCAATTTTATTTTTAAACAAAAAAAAATTTAATAAAGAATTAATAACTGTACTGTGTGTATGATTATGCTTATGATTCATTGTCTGAATGAGCGCTATCTAAGTGTGAGTTGTTTTGTGTACACAATCATGAATGAGAATAAAGAATCAAATGAGCAGTAGCAAGTGAAGGGAATTTCCACTTAGCAAAATACAAGCATACAATTCTGTGTACTGGTGCATTTCTTTTTGTATGTGAGTGTGTGTGTGTGCGTGCGTGTCAATAAGTCAGCTGCACTCTTTAGTTGTGTACACTCAATATTATTACTATACATATACTGCGAAACAAGTAATTCCCTGGATGAAGGAAACTTAGTGATTCCCCGTGGACAAGATGTTGGTTTCTTTTCATCGAGAGCGTTCCTATATAAATTCTTATCCAACTTTGAAAATCATCACAAACTCAACTCAACTGCCGAAGCAGCAATAACATTTTGGTAAGCTTCATTCAATTATATATTTATTCAATTAAATATTTTTTTAATTACTATATTTGAAACTATTTATCAAAATTTTATATTTGAAACTATTTATTAAAATTTTATATTTGAAAGTATTTATTAAAATTTTATACTTGAAAGTATTTATCAAAATTTTATACTTGAAACTATTTAACAAAATGTTATACTTAAAAATATTTATCAAAGCTTTATATTTGAAACTATTTATAGAAATTTTATACTTGAGATATTTTATATAAACATAAATTTAATAAAAACAAATTTTGAATCTATTTTTATATTTTAAATTTTTTATTTAAACTAATTTATATTTAAAAAAATATTTTATATTTATATTAAAAAAGTTTATATTTAACCTAATTGATTTACTGATTACAGATACTAAAGAAAAATGAAGTGCACTTTGATTTTGGCTCTTGTAGCCGCATGTCTGACTGTAGCCCTCGCGGGTCTACCGAAAAGACAAGGACCACCGAGATTAATTGTAAGTTGAAATTAATTATACTTTCTATATTTTTTTTATAACTTATATTTCATACTCTAAATTAAATTTTATAATTTATATTTTATACTCTAAATTAAATTTTATAATTTATATTTTGTAAGTACTCTAATTTAAATTTTATAATTTAAATATTAAAGAGTATTCTTGATACGAAGAAGCTAGATGCGATGTAGTAACTAATGAAGAAACTGTAGGCAATAAGGAAGGCGGAGCTTCAGGTTGCGCACTGGCTACTGCGCAAGATCTGACAAAACATCATGCGCAGTGCACTGAGAGACCTTTCGTTCTATCCTTCCCTGCAGTTTTTTTCCTTTTTGCAAAAAGATTTCGCAGTAATTTTACCGGTCCAAAAATAAAAAATGGGCCCTATTAAAGAAGTCCACCTACTAGTCCTCATACTAAACAAAAATCTTTTTACAGAATCGTCCACCACCACCAAAACCACACCGATATGCAAGGGAAGCTAATCCCCAAAATTCAATTAGTGCCACGGTTCAAAAACCAATGAGTGGTCCAGAACGCCGACCAACTTACAATATCGATTACCAGCACAAAATCTGGGAGGGCAAAAACGGACACGTTTCCGCTGGAGGTGGTGCTAACAAATTCCCAGGACAAAGATGGCAACCTCAAATCGGAATCCAAGGACAATGGCGATTCCGCAGAGAAGCTAATCCTCAAAATTCAATCAGTGCAACGGTTCAAAAACCCATGAGTGGTCCAGAACGTCGTCCAACTTACAATATCGATTACCAGCACAAAATCTGGGAGGGCAAAAATGGACACATTTCCGCCGGAGGTGGTGCTAACAAATTCCCAGGACAGAGATGGCAACCCCAGGTAGGAATCCAAGGACAGTGGAGATTTTAATCAGAAATCTAACTCAGTGAGATGAGAGAGATTCCAGTATTATAGACTGAGGTGTATCATGTAAATTTGTATTAAATTTTTCTAAATAAATTCCCAAAGAGTCAGGAGAACTAAACTTTGTGTAATTTTTAATATTTCCTGGATATTATTTCATACCGTTTATCAGATTAGCAAGACTTGCTTTAATAATATCTTTTGTCGTACTTATTCGTGCACTGACGTTTATCGACAATTTTTAGTAGACTCAAACCATACGGTAGATGTACAGGGCGAGTTCTATCTAGAGATTCCTACACCAACATTTACCGACACATTTTCAGCCCAGACTCAAACCATACTGCATTCAATTCAACAATAAAGAAATATTCTTTATAACTTATTAGATAGAGCTATTTTATTGTCACATGACTCTTTTCATAAACGTAATACTGAAAAAGTGGTTCAAATTCTACTTAAGAATGATAATCCATTGGATTTTGTCAATAAACATATAAAAATTAGATTGTTTAAACAAAAATCAAAGTAATGAAAAATCGGCTATTTACAGTCGTATTCCAAAAATTTGCATTCCTTTTAATAACAGTTACTCACAATTGTCAAAGATCATTAATGATTATAATTTATTGTCAATTCCAATGGTTAATAAGTATTTGACTTCTGTTGTAAAACTAGGAAAGGATGCGACTAACAAATGGAACCAAACTGGTATAAATACAGGGAGAGTTCAGTCTAGAGAATCCTGCACCGACATTTATCGACACTCTTTTATCCCAGACTCAAACCATAATGTTGGGGTTAAGTTATGTCGGTAAATGTCGGTGCAGGAATCTCTAAATAGAAGAATCCAGGTAGAACAAGGTTGGGGTTAAGTTATGTCGGTAAATGTCGGTGCAGAAATCTCTGAATAGAAGAATCCAGGTGGAACAAAAAGACCAGAAATTAGAAAATCGTTTTTAAGGAATAATTTTTGCGAAATCTACTTTAACGAAACGTTTTTATGTAACCATCTAAGTTCTTCCAGTCTAATTATTGCAGATCATCAAAAAAATTAATTTACTAACGTAATGAAGAATTATTTTTAGTTTCATGTCTGCTAAATAACGTCCCAAAAACGTTATATATTTCTAAAACGTTTTAAAAGCAATGGAACGTTTTTGGAACATTATTTGGCAGACATGAAACGTTCTTAAAACGTTTTTGGAACGTTTTTAAAACAATGATGGATTTTTGCCCACTGGGATTCGTTTAATAAGATAAAAAAAAAGTTTGTACAAAACGCAAAGTGTAAAAATCGGATACATCGGTAGATTACATCGGGATTTTTGAAGAAATGACGAGAATCGATAAAAAGGAGAAATATTTAACTTTCTTTAAGGTAATTTGAATAAACCTTTGATGGAATAGCTTTGCGAGAGAGGGAGTCCTTGTTTTGTGTAGAGGTCAATAGTAGTGGAACTGTGAACGTCCTGGTTGGCAAACCACTCGAGTCCAAAACGTCATCCGTTCTACAAAGTGGACTACCAACACAACATTTTCGAAAACAAACACTGCTACATTTGGTCCCGGAGGTGAAGCTCAGAAGCCACCGGATGAGAGATGGAAACCTCAAATCGGACTGCAACTTGGCTTCCGTTTCCGTCGACAAGCCAATCAGAATGACTCCCCCAGGGGGTCACGAGCGTTTAGGTGCAAAACCTGATTAATCGAGTGAAACAAAGGCCATCCAACATTCTCGACTAATCACTCCCTGACGCAATAAACTAATTTACTGATTTACAAAATTACTCCCTATTTTCTTAATTAACTTTATTTCCACATCTATTGTCATTTACTTGTTACTCCAATTTTCTACATATGTAAATATTCTCTTAGAATTTCAAGAAATCGCTAGTGAATAGTACAACGAAAAACATGGATTATCACCTCCTTTGAAAAATTGAAAAACAGTTTTACGCACGTAAAGTGATAAAATACTCCCCTAGCATCAATAGCGAAGAAAAAGTGTTTAAAACTCTCTCGTACAAATTCAAGTTGTATTAATATTAATCACTCGTTACAGGGTTTTATCAACATCCTTATTTATCAACAGATTCTCAAAGGGATATTTTTTCATTTAAAATTGCCACCGGAAACTTTATTCATGATAGAAAATTTAATTTCAACGACAGTTTTGTACGTCCCATTGCGGACAGCGTTTCTTTTTTTATTTTCAATACAGATTATTTACATTTCAGTTGCAATTCATCCGTCTGCAGTGGGTAATATGGAAAAATATTTCTAATAACCAATTCCACTTATCGTCTCCGAAAATTTTTTTTCTTTTCCATCATTGAACGGTTCGATTTTAAACTAAATTACCAATCTATAAAATCAGTCATTTACTATAAGGTTTCTACTAAAATGTAATTCGGAAATGAAAAAAAAAGAAAATTAATACTGAATGACTACATGTGACTTAGTTGCGATTATATTTCATCCGCAATCGTTTGTGCTTGGGAAAACACTTTTCGTAGATGTGGGCATCCGATGACGTGAAATAAATGCATTTCCAATAATCTTCCTCGCCTTATTCTACGTCGACGTGACACCCTGTTATTTCGTACATCCCCTTCAAAGCGTCCCGCACGTGATATACGATCTACAATGTTGCTAATTTTTTTTCCTCTCACCCTCTCTATAAAGCGAAACTCTCATGCTCTCAATTCAGCTATTATTTTCTTTTTTAATCAACAAAAATAGAAAATTCCATCACATTCAATAAAAATGTTTTAATTCTTCTTTTCTAAATTCAGTTCGGTTTTCCCGGATTTCCCGCTTAGTGGATACCCTGAGACTGATAGTCAAATAGTATTACTAATAAAAAAAAATACTAGTGAAACAGTAGTCCTCGGGGAATTTATTTCCTTGAAAGAATATAAGCAAAAAGGGATTAGTCGACTGATCCAGAGATAAATCAAGTGATCTATTAGGACACGTTATATATGTAGTCTGACGAGTGGCTTCATGTCAAAGATCAAGTAAATGATGATGGATCGCATTTTACTTTTATACCCATGAAAACTCTGGGAGAAATCTTTCAGACCTGTCGTGATGGCGAGGCAGCAACGGAGAACTCTTTCCAAATGTTTTTTGCTGATTCACAATGCAGCAAGAAGCAATTTGTCAAAAATTCCTCTTGTTTTTCACTAAATTATTTTCCCCTCTAACTCGAAATTTTCTTTCTTTCTTTCTTTCTTTTTTTTACAAACTCTTTGACAGGAATTCTCAATAGCTAGATAGGGAACAAAAATTTCAATAAACATTCTTTCCATTGTCATTTAATCATCATTATTCGTTTAAGTAAAAAAAAATTCCAATTTTGGTCAACTATTTTATATTCAAGCGAAGGGGAATATATATCACAATTTCTAATATCATTTCAACTGGCAATTTTTGAAGAGGAGAAAAAAAGAGAAAATGAAATCATGTACTTTCGTGAAAAATTGAAAATTTTAGAGAAGAGAAACTCGTCTGGCCAATGGAGTGTGGATATTTCTCAGTCGCAGTTTTCTTCTCTAGTGTACCTATAGGTATATATTGAATTACTAAATTCTACTACTACATAGTAATTTCTACTAATTTATTAGTAAAATTTACTAATTTAAAATAAAAATTTTTGATATTGAATTAGTAAATTCTACTAATATATAGTAATTCCTACTAATTTATTAGTAAAATTTACTAATTTAAAATCAAAAAGTCAGTCACTAATTCAAATTAGTAAACATTTTTAATAATTCAAATTTAGTGAGTAATAATAATAGAATATATTATTTTTAATTAGTATTAATTATAAGGAAAACTAAGAAAAATGGGGGACCTGGAATTTTTTTTTTTCTTTAAATTTACATTAAAACTACTAATTATTAATCAATTATTAAAAATCATGGATCATTCTGACATAAAATTATTAAAAAAAAATATTTTGACACTAATAATTAGATTAATATTATTGTATTATTCACGATTGCCACAAAAATTTAATTTCGTTTTTCTCTGACTTTTTCCTGATTTTCAGACAAAATTTTTACTTTTTCCTGACTTTTTCCTGAATTTTAATTTGAACCCTTTTTAAAACTAAATTATTTCTAAAATTTCACGCTGTAATACTTTTAAGATTCAATTATAATTTAAAATTTTAAGTGAAATTCATTTTTTATTTAATTCAATTTTTATAACGAATTTTATCAAAGTTAAAAAAAAATTAAATTTTTTCAGCGAATTTAAAAAAATTTTTAAGAATATGCAATTTAATGCAATTTTCTATCATTTTATTTCAAATTATATAAAAAAATAATTGAAATTCTGCGATAAGTTTTGTTATTTATGAGAATAATTGAATTCTTGCAACGAAATTTATTAAAATTTTTTTTAAAATTTAAATTGAATTTAATTTGAATTCCAGAGAAAAATATTAATATTTATGAAAATAATTAGTTTCTTGTGAAGATATTTTATTCAAAATTTTTTTAAATAATTGAATTTCTCAGAATTTTTTAAAACTTTTTTAAAATAATTGAATTCCATGGAGAAATTTACTAAAAAAAATTGAAAATAATTGAATTCTTGCAACGAAATTTATTAAAAAATTTTTTAAAGAATTGAAATGCTGTGAAGAATTTTATTTGCGAAAATAATTGAATTCCGGAGAAAAATATTATTATTTATAAAAATAATTAGTTACTTGTGAAGAATTTTATTCATATTTTTTTAAATAATTGAATTCCTGTGAAAATTTTTATTTTTGAAGAGAATTGAATTCAATCGAAAAATTTCATTAAAAAATTGAAAATAATTGAAATCTGATGGAGAATTTTATTAAATTTTTTTTTAAATAATTGAATTCCAGTAAAAAATTTCAATTATTTTTGAAGAGAATTAAATTCTTGGAAAGAATTTTATTTTTGAAAAGAAATGCATTCCTGGGATGAATTTTATTAAAATTTCTTAAATAATTGAATTGCTTCGGCAAATTTTATTTTTTACGAAAATAATTGAATTGTTTCGAAGATTTTTACAAATATTTTTGCCTATAATTTTATTGTATTCCTAGGAAGGATGTTATAATTTATAAAAATAATAAATTGTATTCTATAATCAATTTTATTATAATTTCTCAAATTTATAATGTATTTTATCAAAATTTTCTAAAATAATTGAATTTCTCAAGAAAAATTTTATTATTTATGAAAACAATTGATTTCTTGCGAAGAATTTTATTCGAATTTTTTTAAATAATTGAAATTCCATAATAAATGTATTATTTATGAAAATAATTGAATTCTTAAGAATAATTGTATTGAAAATAATTGAATTGTATAGGAAAATTTTATTAAAATTGAAATTTTATTTACTAAATCTTGTAAAGAACTTTGTCAATATTTTTTTAAATAATAGAATTTTTAAAAGAATTTTATTTCAATTTTTCGAAATAATTGAATTTCTCACAACTCTTTTTTTCAATTCTCTGAAAATATTTGAATTCTTTCGAGAAACTTCATTAAAATATTAAAAATAATTGAATTTGTTCGAAGAAATTTATACAAAATTGGTAAGTAATTGAATTCCTGTGAAATTTTTATTAAAATTTTGTTTAAATAATTGAATTCTTTTGGGAAACTTTTATTTAAAATACATTAAAAATAATTAAAATTAAGAAAATTTTTGAAAATAATTGAAATTTTGCGAAGAATTTTATTAAATTTTTTGAAAATAATTTACTTTCGGAGTAGAATTTTATGATTTATAAATATAATTGAAATTTTGACGAGAATTTTTTTTTAATTTTTGAACATAATTGAATTTACGCGAAGAAGTTTATCACTTTAGAAAATAATTGAATTTCTGTAATCAGTTGTTCTTAAAATTTCTATTTAAATTTATTAAAAATTGAAATTTTCTCAAATTTCAAACACAACTCTTTTGAAATCCAAATAATTTTAAAATTTTTAAGTAATATTCATTAAATAATTTCTAATTAATAATTTTATGATAGTTTTTCAAAGAATAAAGTTATTTAAAAAGAAATTATTGTCAGAAATATAAAAAATTGAAGACTTTGTATTAGAATTCTTGTCAATTTCATAGTTTATGAGGCAAACAAAAAAGACTCTTAAATTCAGAATTTTTCTTATAAATTCTAAAAACTTAATTTTTTCCAGTACTTTTAATAAAAATCCCTGATTTCCCTGACTTCCCCGCACCTTGGCAACTGAAGTTTTTCAAAAATTATTTCTTATACTCTCTCTAAATTTGATTCAAAAAAAAAAAAATTCAAAAATTTAGAGAGAGTATAAGAAATAATTTTTGAAAAACTTCAATTGCCAAGGTGCGGGGAATCAAATATCTTTTTTCTGATTGTAGCAAAGAAATCCCAACTTTTATTTGATTTAAACAAAATATATTTGACTAAAACAACTGCCTTTCTCTATGTATAAAAATCGTAATAAGTTGCAATTTCACCCCCCCAAAAATGCAATTGTATACTTTGTTCGCAATTTGTGTAGAAAAGTCGAAAAACTCCCATTTTATGAAAATAAGTCGAGAAAGTCACACACTATCCGAGGCCTGAATATTTTTTTGATAGGGGACGACGACTCGACTCGACGATTTTATGACGTGATGAAAGGCGAGAGAGTGAAATTGAGTTCGACATGGTCTCGGCGAACGTAAGTGAAATAAAACAACAAAAAAAAGGTGCGGAGTGGTGGGGAGAAAAGAAGGAAGGAAGGAAGAAAGAAAGTAAAGTAAGAAAAAAAAAAGGATGAACCGGGTCGAAGCTGAGCGAAGGATCTCGCGTTTATCTCAGTTGAATGAGCCTGGGGCCAAGACTCAAGTAATCCGGATGGAGTCCTTCTTTCTTTAAGAGGAAGAGTTCGAAGAGTCCTCTCGATAAGAGAGAAGAGCCTGTACTCTATGGATAAGTTGGCATGACGATAAATAGAGAAGCTCAGGAAAATAAATAGACCGCAGAGGCGTATAAATGCTCCAACCACGAAGGGTTGAAAAAAAAATTGATAGGAGGCAAAGATACTTTCGGAAAGCCACAGATCAAAAAGAGGAAAAATAGTAAAGCTGAGAATTGCTTTCCCTTCCTCTCTCCCTCTCTCTCTCCCTCTCGCTCTTATTGCAAATTCGCGATTTTTTTTCAACATCAAATATCCAGACTGTCATTGAAAAATTCGCAACTCGATTGAAATTCTGTTTGAATGAAAATTCTTAATCCGGGTAAAGATGACCTTCTATTTTTTTTGCAGGCTTCGTAATCGATAATTAATTTAAAAAAAAAGAAGCTTAAAAACTATTTGAAACTATTCAAAACAAGTTTCAAGTTATTTAAACTATTTTAAACGATTTTCAACTATTTTGAAGAATTTGAAACTATTTGGAACTACCATAAAGTTATTTTAAACGATTTTGAACTATTTTGAACTAGTTTTAATTTATTAAACTATTTGGAACCAGTTGGAAGTTAACGTAACAGAAAAATAAATCCAAATATTAGCAAATCGTAAAAAAAGTATTAGCTTATAAATAAAAAATATATTTAATAATTAACTCACCAGCGCAGCTGTATCCATTTTTGTGAAGAATATATCCATCTCGACAGTCACATTCATACATTCCATCGTGAAGTTCATAGCACAATTGTTCACAGGGTGAACCATGTCCGCATCTTCCTGCAAACAAAAAAAGAAAGAAGGGAAAAAAAATTAATTATTTTTCGTATCTATAATAAAGACAAAATTGTTTCTTTTACTTTCTATTTGAGTATGAACATATATATCTTTTGCTCTCTAAGACTTTCTTTAGACTTTAAACGTCATCTTAGTGAGGAAAAAACATCTCAAGGGAGATTTTCCGCTTGAAATGATAATTAAAGGCTTTGAGTGAAAATTGCCAACAGTATATATAGTATATATAGAATAAAATATAAATGAATACACTATGCAAGCAATTTCCTTTACCAACGCAAGGATTTGATTCTTTCTGGACAGTTCTCATAACTTGGTTCAGAATACTCTACTCAAATTTAGTCATAATTTCAATTTCAGAAATATACCATTAGTACCATTAGTGGCTTTTTTTCGATAGAACTTCTGCAAGTTTTTTATTTTAATCACATTTTAACATTTCTATTATGATTAGAGTCAACTAATAAGCCAAAACACGAAGGTACTAAGAACTTTTTTAGAATTTATTTCCAATTCAGAAAAAATTTGTATCTTGAAAAATAATTTAATTCTTGCGAAGAATTTTATAAAAAATTTTTAATAATTCATTTCTTTCGACTAATTTTATGCAAATTCTAATTTAAATAATTGGATTCCTGAGAAATTTTTATTATACATAAAAGAAATTGGATTCTTACGAAGATTTTAACAAAAAATTGTTTAAATAATTGAATTCTGTTTGGAAATTTCATGAAAATAGAAGATATTGAAAATCATTGAATTGCGAAAAGGTTTTAAAAATAATTAAATTTTACAAAAAATCCTATTAAAATTTTTGAGAATAATTGAATGTCTGTGTGGCATTTTATTAAATTTTTTAAAAAATAATTGAATTCCCTTAAAAGCATTTTATTATTTATGAAAATAATTGAATTCTTGCGAACGATTTTATTAAAATCTAAAAGAATAATTGAATTATTTTAGAAAAATTAAATTCAAATTGTATTTAAAATAATTGCTTTCTTTCGAACAATTTTATTAAAATATTTTTAAATAATTGAATTCCTGTGAAAAATTCTAATATTTTTGTAAATAATTGAATTCTTCTAAAGAATTGAAATTAAATTGTTAAATAATTAATTTTTTCGAGGAATTGAAATTACATTTTTTTAATAATTACATTTTTTTGAGCAATTCCTGTAAAATTTTATTAAAAATAATTGAAATCCTGCTATGAATTTTAATATTTATGAAAATAATTGAATAGTTGCAAAGAATTTTATTAAAATTTTCAAAAATATTTGAATTCCTGAGAAGAATTTTATTATTTATGAAAATAATTGAATTATTGCGAAAAATTTTATTAAAATGTTTAAAAAGAATAAAATTTTAGTGAAAAAATTGGTTATTTTTTAAAGTTATTGAATTCTTGCAAACGACTTTATCAGAATTTTTTAAAATAATTGGAATTCCAAGAAGAAATTTATTACTTTTAAAAATAATTGAATTTTCGTGCTGAATATTGTTATTTATAAAAATAATTGAATTGTGCAAAAAATTTTATTAAAATGCTTTAAAATAATTGAATTTTAGGGAATAGTTTTGTTATTTATCTTTAATAATATTGAATTCTTTCAAAGAATTATTTATGTAAATAATTGAATCCTTGGGAAAAAGTTTATTTAAATCTAAAAGAATAATTGAATTATTTCGAACAATTATTTTTAAATATTTGAAAGTAATTGAATTCCTGTGAAAAATTATAATATTTTTGTAAATAATTGAATTCTTCCAAAGAATTAAAAAAAACAATTTTTTTAAATTTTGTTTTTTTTTTAAATAATAATTGTATTCTTCATAAGAATTTTATAAACATTGTTTTAAATAATTAACGTTTTTGAAATATAATAAATATTATGAAAATTTTATTTTAAATAATTGAATTCTTATGGGAAACTTTATTTGTAAAAGTAATTGAATTTTTCGATTAATTAATTTAAAATAATATAAAAATTAATTGAAATTCTTGGATGAGTTTTATTATTTACGAGAATAATTGAATTCTTGCTTAGAATTTTATCAAAAAATTATTTCAATAATTGAATTTTCGTAATAATTGTTATTATTATAAAAGTAATTGAATTATTGTAAAGAATTGTGTACAAATTTAGTTAAATATCGGTTTTTTTCGAAATTTTTCTGAAAATTCTATTCTAATTTAATTGTATTCCTGTAGAAATTTCATTATTTATGAAAATAATTGAATTTTTTATGAATTTTATAAATTTTTTTTTCTAATTCAATTCTTTTATTGTGAAATTTTATGAAAATGCTAGATAATGAAAATAATTGAATTTTAAATATTTTTGGAAAATAATTGAATCGTTTTAAAGAATTTGATTATAATTTTTGAGAATAGTTTTTTGATTTCTAGTATTAACGAATTTAAAGTAGTAGAAATTGTCAAAAAAACAGAAATAGTAGCTTTTAGTAGCTGAAATCTAAAAAATGTACCCAAATAGTAGTACAACTTAATAAAAGTAGTAAATAGTAGGTTTTAGTAGATGAGTGCCAAGACTGTAATTGTTATTAAAAAATTATTATAGTATTATATTATTAAAAATTATTATTTACCATTTCTTGTAAATAAATTGCAACAAAGCTTATTATTAGACTCTAATTATAATAGAAACGTTAAAATAATAAAATAAAAAACTTGCAGAATTTCCATGGAATCTCCACAGAAATTCCATGGAGAAGTTCCATGGAATCTCCACAGAAATTTCATGTAGAAGTTTGATGGAATTTCTAAAGGGTACTTCCATGGAATTTTTCTACGTGGTACTATTTTCCTAAAGCAAATAACTTTACGAAAATAGTTATACTTCACTATTAATTAGTTATTTTCATCTAATTGCAAAAGTGAAAATTCATCCAACATTTTACTAGCAATTACTTCGTTTTTACCAACAACCTCAAAATGTACAGAGTATCTCTTTAAACTTTCCTCGAAATTTTCAACCAATTTGAATATTAATGAATAAATTATTCAGACTAATTATACAGACTTTTCGGTAATTTTGCATCAAACGAGAGGGATAAAAGAGGAAAAACAAAAAATAATAATAAGGGGAAAAAAGTACCTATTGAAAATATAATACAAGAGATAAAATACTGCCCAAACTGAAAAGAACCGAGAGTTATACGTTGGGGGAAAATTTGAATTGGAGATCAAACAACTCATCACCGCTCATTTATATATACCTATAAAAAGTCCCCCAAGTTTTCACTGAGAACTCCTAATTAGACCAACTGTCGCCTGATTTGCGCCTAATTATAATGTAAAGCTGCGGTCAACTTGAATTTTGTTTACTTAAATTATTACTCAATTTGCAACTGAGTTTGTTTGTGGAGCCTGACAAGTTTTCAGGAGGTGCGCATCTGTTAAATATCCGGAATAACAACATATATGTCCGTTAGCGTCATTGCCTATTAGAACTTAGTACTTCGACCCTCGAAAAGCTTTCGCTAAACCTTGTGCTAGTGTTCAACTGGGAGAATAGTGTGTGTGTGTGTAGAGAGAGAAGAGAAAGTGCCTCAAACTTGCAATGCAATGTTTGCCCTAAACTCGTTGAAGCGTCGAGTGGTAAAGCGTCGTGGTAACCTTTCAGATAGAGAAGGATTTTGCAGCTGAGAATATGGAGAGAGAACTACTCAGATACACTTGAGTTTCTCTTTAACAACGCGTTTATGCTCATTTTGCACGTGTAAGCATTGCACTCAACGCAATGTTGGTAATACGTGCCTATTTTCAAGTTCACGGGAAACAAGTGTTCCTTTGCGTGTGTATGTGTCTTTCATTCAATTTTCCTTCTTTTTAAACCTCCCAAATTTAAATAACGAAATAAAAAAATTTCCACTATTTCAAACTATTATAAAAGAATTTTATTAACTATTATTCAATATTTTCAAGATTTTAAACTATTTAAAATTATTTTTACAATCTAAAACTATTTTTACGATTTGAAACTATTTTTACAATTTGAAAATAATTTTATTATTTCAAACCATTAGGAACAAGTTTGAAGTGATTTAAACAATTTTAAACGATTTTCAACTAATTATTTGTAATTTACAATTGAATTCCTGTGAAACTTTTATTATTTATGCAAATAATTAATTCAAAAATCCGAATTTCTCAAAATTCAACATTTTCTCCTCTCTTTCATGGCATTTGGCTTCACTATTTTTGTGCTTTTGGAAAATACTCTACTCATTTAATAGTCTCGAATCTTTGGTAAAAAATAAAAAATTATAGAAAATTATCAAAAATTCAAAAATCCGAATTTCTTAAAATTCAACATTTTCTCCTCTCTATTATGGCATTTGGCTTCATTATTTTTGTGCTCTTGGAAAATACTTTACTTATTTAATAGTCTCGACTCTTTGGTAAAAAATAAAAAATTATCGAAAATTATCAAAAATTCAAAAATCCGAATTTCTTAAAATTCAACATTTTTTCTTTTCTTTTATGGCATTTGGCTTCACTATTTTTGTGCTTTTGGAAAATACTCTACTTATTTAATAGTCTCGACTCTTTGGTAAAAAATAAAAAATTATAGAAAATTATCAAAAATTCAAAAATCCGAATTTCTTAAAATTCAACATTTTCGTCTCTATTTTATGGCGTTTGGCTTCACTATTTTTGTGCTTTTGGAAAATACTTTACCTATTTAATAGTCTCGAATCTTTGGTGAAAAATAAAAAATTATCGAAAATTATCAAAAATTCAAAAATCCGAATTTCTTAAAATTCAACATTTTCTCCTCTATTTTATGGCATTTGGCTTCACTATTTTTGTGCTTTTGGAAAATACTCTAATTATTTAATAGTCTCGACTCTTTGGAAAAAAATAAAAAATTATCGAAAATTATCAAAAATTCAAAAATCCGAATTTCTTAAAATTCAACATTTTTTCTTTTCTTTTATGGCATTTGGCTTCACTA